TTTCAAATTGCCCCCTCTATATACGTTTCTGTTTTAAAACCATGTTCATAGTAACTATTAATATTTCAGTAGTTACATAGTTATTGTGTTAAGCTACATGTATTTGTTTGCCGAAGAAAAAAAAACCCCATGCCGTGTCGAACGTCGCCCGCGCACTTCGCCCAGGCCACCAACCCAGTGATGCTCGCAACACTGCCCCGGCTACCGACTTGGGACTAGCGAACTCACCCGCAGCGGGCGAGCGCCGAGGTTCGCCAACAAGCACACCCGCAACGGGCAAGTGCCGAGACTCGCCCATAAGAATTTCACTAGAAATCACAAACTTTAAAAAGTTTTGAATTTTAAGAAATAACAAAACGTAGCTGAAAATATCAAATGAATACACTCTCTTAGATATTGAAATCCCCCTCAATAGATTAGTGCAAAATGTTCGGGTCCTAAATATCGATTTCTTATGCTTCGTAATCATATGTATTGAATTCTTGTGATTCGTTATATTGTGTGTTTGTTTTGAAGTAGTACAAGTATATCCGTACTTCTACCATGCGTATTAGAGCCTTAAAAAAAAACCTTGACCTACTTAAGTTACAAATATATTTTAAAAGTTAATAACTTTAGTATTCGATATCATATTTTTATTTATGATATATCAAATTAATTGTCTCATAACGAGCTTTGATTTGACATCTATATTTCATATATAAAAATATATATATACGTATTTCTTAAACACAAATTAAATTGTATATCAATATTAATTGACAAATAAGAAAAGTATTTATCAATTAATTAAATTTATCTATTTATTATATATTATGACTTAAAAAAGTTATTATACTATAAAAATTGAAAAAAAAAATATTAAAAATATTATCAAGTGATAAGTGTCATTTTAAATATAAAAAAGTTAATATGAGTTTATAAGAATGATTTAAAAGCCACTTCCCTCTATTTTATTATTAAAATTTAGTTAAGAATTTAGCCCATGTAGATCTCGACGCTGTCAATATCTATGACGCTTTTTAAAATCATAAAGTATTCGACATGCTTCGATTAAAATATATTTGAAAGTTAATAATTTTTTTATTTGTTATCAGATTTTTGTATATATATATTACATTAATCATCTTTTGACGTGATTTGATTTTATATCCATATTACATATATAAAATAAATCAATAATTTCTTTTTATAATGAAATTAAATTATCTACTAACACTGACTAATAATTAATAAAATTATATATCAATTCAAAATGTCATCCATGTTACATTTGACTATGTTTGGTAAACCTAGTTGATAAGTAATAAGTCAACTGATAACTTATTAGTGAATTTCGATCTTATATTAGGTGACTTTTTACTTATGGCTGAAAAACTCTTATATGATAAAAATATTTCGTTAAATTAATTAATAAGATAGTTGAAATAAATCTTTCAACGTCCTTATTTAAAAAGTTAATCAATAAAATTATGATATAAGCTCGAGTTTTTATATCTTACCAAACGAAACAATTTTTATTTATATACAGGAAGTTATAACCTAACCAAATATCGCAAGAGTTGCGTTCTGCGCCTATTTGTTTCTGCACATCTCTTTCCATCAACACCCAACTTACTAATTTCACCATTAAATTTTAAACCCTAATTAAGACCTTCGCCTTCATCTTCGAAGAGTTGGGAATTTGTAACGATGGCGTTGGAGAGAGAAGGTGGGCGTGGGGCTAACCAGTTGAGGCCGATAGACTGTACGCGTAACATTCTCAGCCGCGCCCATGGCTCTGCTAGCTGTTCTCATGGTACAGAGCTCACTTTTTCATGTTTCTCTTTACCTCCGCATTCTCAGCCGCGCCCATGGCTCTGCTAGCTGTTTTCATGCCTTTTTTGTGCTATTTATATCATTCTGATGCATGTTTTACCTCTCATTTAAGCTATCATTAACCTTCAATCGAAAATACAGTAAATGTTTATCCTTGTCTGCAACATTAGTTTTGTACGAGTTTCGGATGTTCGATTGTTGTACTGATTTTATTGTATCGGGCTTTATACGCCAACTTAGTAGCTAGAAGGAGAAGGTATTCTGATTGTTATTTGTATATATGAAGACCAGAATGTCCTACTCTATTGCTTGAGTATACATTGAAAAATAGGACCTTGCAGCACGCATTATACATGTTCTAATTTTCTTCTCAGGGGAGACGAGGGTGCTTGCTGCTGTTTTCGGACCTAAAGCTGGGACAAAGAAGAACGAGAACCCGGAGAAAGCTTGCATTGAAGTCATTTGGAAGGCCAAAACTGGACAGTCGGGTGAGCTTCTGTTAAAATATAATTCTAGAACTTGAAATGATTGATTGAACTTCATGTTATGCAATTGATGTGCTTAGGCTTGGTTATGTGCAATATTAAGTGCAATATTCCCATGAGGCCTGGGTATGTAGTATGTACAATATTGTCTGTTATTTCCAGCTCTGTGAAAACTTAGTAAAGCTTTTTGTGCTATCATGGCTCAATTAAATTCTAGTGCTTCTTCTATTAGTGAAGTTTCTAGAAAAAAAATATATCAAACGACGCAACGCACCTTGGGTCGTTATGGAAACAGCCTCCTTGTATAA